GCTCCGATATTTCCTGCAAATGTAGCATGCTTCCTTGGTTATGAAGTCGCTCTAAAGCTTTTGGATTATACGTCTACAAATCTGTAAAATACTCACTCACTACTGCTCAAATGACTACTTCCAAACAAAATGGTTGTCATCGAACCGTTAGTTATTGCTTTCGATTTTTCCAGCTACCATCGATCTATTGGCTTTCCATTGAGTTTGCCTATCATTCTTTGTGATATATTTCTTCCTGAAAATCTCGAAATTCATCATGATGGTTGTGATAGTGAATTATTATAATAATAGACTCAGTTTGTAATGTTACTGATATTGTTTTAGAACACTTTGTGATCAGGCACACCTTTAGTATGACTGTAGTGGTTTTTCACTCTGCCTTTTGAAAATCGAATGATCATTGTCGTTGTATTTAAAAAATAACAAATACTCTTACTAGGAAAAAAGGAGGTAGGGTGACTCATGCTGATCGGCAGATATGAAAGTGGTGAATCGCCCGGATTTGTAGGACGGAAGCATACATTTATTGACAGCTTGTGAATTAAACATTAGTCTGGATCCTTAACAAGAAATAATAAAGGTTGTACAGATCTAAATTATAAAAAACGCTTTTGCTACTACCATCTAGAAGCCTGCTCAGCTTCTTTTCAAGATGTTACCTGATGGGTCCTATAGAAATTTTGAGCTATATTTTCATCGAAAACACCATAGTTTCCATGTTTAGACCAATGTGGTTAGCACTGAACATTGCAAATATATACTTTCATTCCAAGGAGTCTCTAGTACCTTCTTGTATATATCTTTTAAATGTACTTCCAATGATGTATTATCCATAATTGTATTTTATCCCATTTCGCAGTTTCCCAGGACATTCTCATCTTGTTGAAATAGTTTTTAATCACCTAAAGGCATAGCACTTACTCAAATATACGCTGTCCACTGATTGAGCGTGACTACCAGCATAAAGGGGAACGAAGTAGAGGTTGTCGCTCAAGATTTGATGGTGATTGGAGTTAAGTCTACACCCAGAAACAACAAAGTTTCAGTGATAGAAAACGCATCAGGTTGTAGTCTTTCAGAGAATACCCCGATAGCTGCTACCATGACGTGGTGGTTGGGCTTGTATATCGGAATAACCCAACAAGCTACATTCGCTGGAAATATTGTTCCTGCAGGTCCTGTCATGCCACTAAGGTTGTTAGGATAGCGATCAGACGAAAAGCTGTTACCGGCATAGCGTAAGAATTTCTTTTTACACTATGCTGAGGGTGTGTGGGCGAAGTCGTATTGCTGGGGAACAGGGACGTAACAGCAGTTTTGTGTTTGCTTCAGATGAGCAGCACGCCAGCTATGCTGTCCCTCGACTCTGGAGAGAGGCAGGGTTACAAAAGGTCGATCCCAGAAATTGTACATCTCGACTTACCCTGCAGTGGTCCGTAACCGGCGATAAGTTTACTAATACGGAACCGATCCCAGAAACCAGTTCACACAGGCGATGTGTGACCGGCGTCAAGCAGTTATGGCCTGGGCTCTGCGGTCAAGCAACACTAACTCTCTTTCTGGGTAGGCGGGAAGTAACAGCCGCCCATTCACTTCCAAAAGCGTACGAAGCTTTCCTGAGTATCATTCTCCTTAATCCACGTCACTTTCATTATCTTACTTCCGTACTACAGTCGGTACTATTCTTCAGGCTAGTGAGTAATATTCACTTCACCCTGTGACCACAAGCAACGATGAGAGCCATAGAAACACCCCCGACAGCCTCTTAAAGCCACATAACCAAATTCATATAGTAGCACTCAACGTCAGAACCCTCTACCAAATCGGCCAACAGGCATTACTCACCGGAACTCTGGCATCTCGAGCCAGAATGTATGTTGTGTTTCGGAGACACACGTACAAGACTCGAGTGTGGTCATTCACTTAACCTCACCCGGCCAACAAGGTGAATCTGAGAAATTCACTTTTAATGGTGTCAGTAGACCCCTCAGCTAGTTCGCGAGGACTCGCAGGTGTAGGGATGGCGTTGAGTGTTAGGGCAGTAAAATCACCTCTTGATTGGATTCCGGTAGATAGTCGTATGTGCGCGATCCGTCTGAACAGGTCCTTTAGGAGAAGGAAGGACGCTGTCATCTGTCGTTGTCTCCGCTTACGCCCCAACAAACTGCAGTTCGGATGAACTGAAGGATGACTTCTACCTGAAAGTGTCTAATTCGATACAAAAAGCAAAACGTTCAAATATAGTTGTTTTAGCAGGTGACTTCAATACCCAAGTAGGGAATTTATGCCAGACTGAGAAGTATGTAGGTGGTATGTATGGAGTTCCCTGCCGACGAACCGACAACGGTGATCGTCTTCTACAGTTTTGCTCAGATAATCATCTGTTCCTAGTCAGTACTAACTTAAGGCACAAAGAGAGACATTGTGTAACCTGGCGACCTCCATCACCAAATCAACGCTGGACTCAGATAAACCACATAGCCATAGAGTGTCGTTGGTGAGGGTCAGTAGAAGACTGTCGCTCCTTCTGGAACACGTGCGTAGACTCTGACCACACTCCGGTTCGGGCACGTTTATGCTTACGAATAAACGGACATAAGAAATTTATGGCAGCATAACGGTTACGTCCCCAACTAGATCGAGAGTCTGAGCCCCTATTTAAGGAAGAAATAGCGAAACGAGTGTCTGAGGTCGACAGCACGACTTCCCCTGGGGTAGGCTGCACAACATACAGTTAGCTGTAGACACAGCTGTGAAAGCTGTTATTAAGCTGAAACCGAAAGTTAGTAAGAGCCACTGGATCTCTATCGCCTCATCCGAACTGATTGACGCAAGAAGACTGATTCCAGCGAGCTCCGATTGTGATGAGGAGCAAAAGCTACTCAAAAGCAAACTAACAAGAAGTCTTCGAAACGACCGCGAACGGTGGTGAGCGAAAAAAGCGAAAGAGATGGAAAAGGCATCGGCGATTGGTAACACAAGACAACTATTTAGACTTATCGGGGAAACAGGTGGTAAAAAGCAAGCGATAAGTGAAACAATGTCTGAGAAAAACGGCACCATAATTAGCTCCCAGGATGGAAAGAACACTTTGAGGAGCAGTTTAATTTCCCTACAGTCACGCTCAACTTACCGAACATCCAACAACTCCCTCAATGGGATATAGACACATGTCCACCGTCCCTAAATGATGTTACTAAGGCTGTTACTCGTCTGGAACGAGGTAAAGCAACAGGAGCTGTTGGAATGACTCCAGAGGTATTCAGGTACGGTGGGGGCAGCTTACTGTCTGCGTTATCTGAGGTACTAGGAGGCGTCTGGGAATCAGAGGAAGTCATGTCGGGTTGGTGTAAGTCATTGGTTATCCCGACATACAAGCCTTCCTGTGACAATCACAGGGGGATTAGTTTAATCAAGATGGTAGTATCTAAAGTTGTAGGCTCAATAATCATGTGTAGACTAAGCGGTCCACGGGAGAAACAAACACCAGAGAACCAGGCAAGCTTTAGACTAGGAAGAGGGTTTATTGATCACATCTTCACCCTTCGGCAGATTCTAGAACGGAACGTAGGCATACTTACCCACGTCCAAGAATCGCCATATTTCTTGACCTTAAGGTGAAATTCGATTCTGTCGACCGAGAGGCACTCTGGCGATGTAGTCATCTGAAGGTGTGACGACTAGTGGTGTTCAACAGGGATGCCCACTATCCTCATTTCTGTTCAATGTCGTCATAGATGTACTAATGGAATTAACTCTAATTCACTTCAGCGACTCAGTGATTGACTTGTTACCATCAGGGAATAATCTCATTGACTTAGAATATGCAGATGATATAGTCCTTCCTGCTAGGTGAAGAAGATGCTGACAAACGGCAGAGTCTTCTGAACACCTTGAGTTCTAATCTGCGAATGTTTGGCATGCGATTCGCTCGTGCTGTCAAATTTAAGATGATGCTACAAGACTGGACTGGACTAGACTAAATCGACTTCTGGCTTAAAAATAGGGAGTGAAGTGGTAGAGCACTTTGATCGCCTCACTTATTTGGAAAGTTGCATCAGTCAACGCCAACAGGTTGATCGCTGACAAAATCTCATCACGGATACAGAAGGCTCGTTTCGCATATGCCAGTTTACCCCGTCTCTGGCGTAGACGTGATGTCCGGCTGGCTGTAGACCAAACGGCGTGTGTACTGTTCGGCAGTCCGTCCCGTGCTCCTTCATGGCTGCGAGACCTGGTCATTGAGAGTGGGAGACATGAAAAGCCTGGCTAGCTGTCTCTGACCATAGGTGCCTGCGTTCCACCTCCCGTGTGAAGTGCTATAATAGGGTGAGCAATATTGAGGTTAGGCCTCTATCGAGTGCTAGGTAAGGAGGGGAAATCAATCGACGAGCCTGTCAATCTACATCGACCGAGATGGTTAGAAAATGTGTTACGTATTAATGTCTAGCTACCGCCTTCCTCAACGGGTAATGTTAGCTAACATAGGATAAGTCAAGTTGGAAAAGACCCAGTGGCAGCGGTGGTCAAACCAAAACATAGCTTCATTAGTCAGTGAAATCCACAACAGTTAGTTTAAGCCAGTCACGTAGCAATGTGTAGACTTCCTAATGGGTTGGGGTCCTCGGGTGACAATTGGTGAAATGGCTCAAAGTGATCATTCTCGGTGGCTGGCGCAGATGCATCCACTCCTTGTGACTTATAATACCCGAAGAAACTATATTGTCTTTCAATATCACTGTTCCTTTTGCCTCATATCTCTGTTTACTGTCTCTCTTTACTTTATTCTCTTGCTTTGTGTGCTAAGTGAGGTGTGATGACTGAAACTGCTGCATATTGGTGCAAAGTTCTATTTCGAAACCAGTCAGTCATAATACTCCGTATACTACATACTGTCTGGTACTGATGAACCTGGTGCATCTGAAATCTTAATGAGTACTGACATTGGGACTTAGGTTTGAATCAGAGAGAACATGTAAGACGAAACTGAAGACAGGCAATAGAAACAACAACATTTTATTAAAATAAATTATTTATGCTGAAGATTAACATAAATCTGAAAAAGGAGTAAATTTCACACAAAGTCGTCAGTATTTTGATCTATTTTACTGCATTCTTTGACTTCAGTTTTATTCCCGCTTACGTTTCTTCTAGAAGCTTTCAGTTTTAATTTCCCCTTAGAATTTTCATTGATTACTTCAGATGACAACTGTTGGTTGTTGCTTTCAGTTTGACTCTTATGGTACTCCGTTAAATGTTGCAACTATAAAAAATAGAAATAGTTGTGGTTTTTATTCAAATAAATTACAGTGAACTATACTGAAATAATTAAATCATTCAAATATTATTCGTTTATAACAAGTATTAATGCATATCCTTAGTTAAAATAATGATATTTGAAAAAATAGGGAATATCTGTAGTACAGCTATGTGACTTGCTCAGTCCAAGCGTCAAATACTATTGTAAGACTGGTAGCAACTTGTAGCGCTAATTAATCTCACAGAAGAAGTCAAGAACTTCACATATCCACGTGGTTGTGTTACGGCTGGAATCTCTAATAGATACATGTAACTGATCTCTCCAAACTGAGGATGAGCATTGACTATATATGTCCGTTCACCAATGTCTCTGCACAATTGCTTGAATCCGACTGCATAAGTGGAAATCGACTTACAATAAACGACCTCTAATGTGGAGATCGATATGAAATCGATCAACTGAGTTTATCTTTTGAAAACAAAGCTTCTCACCTAGGACCATTATTATATACTGATTAACACATTCTTGTATTTCTCTCTAGTGAGTGGATGCAACCATTCCTACCATTTCACAGTGTGTCCTCAATAGAGTGACAGCGAAGAAAATCAACTAGTGGTTGTAAAACGCCAGTGAAAACAGATGAAATGTATAACTACCTTGGCGACTTTATCCATTTCAAACATCTCATTTGCAGCTGGTAAGCATAAGAGAAGACAAAAGAATGTCAAGTGCGAAAATAGGAGTAAGCAAGCAATAACTTGAAGAAATGTGCAACTGGTGACGGAAACATTAGATTCATCGAAGTCAAACACATTCCCTGGATATTAAATGGAAATTATACAGTGCACTACTGACTGAATAATTCTGAGTGCCCAATAATCTCTACGCTAGCTCAGTATCAATAAACTCGAAGACTGACTGAATACCGTAAAAAGTTTTGCATTTTCCATAGAATGACGTTTGGGAAATACAAACTGCTTTTCACAGTAATATCATATACCCAATGGCCAATTTTTTTCAACTACTAAATCTGTTAATGACTGGGTTTCTGACGTGGAACTCTGCATAAAACTGCAGCAGTTCTACGAAACACATTCCATATAACACACCAAAACCGAAATATCCGGAAGAAATGTAACGAATACACGCGTATAGGTGAAAAATAATAACCTCCTTACTTGACTCAAACCAACCATCGCATATATAGTGAGTGCAATGACTACATATCGAATTGTTTGACAGTCTCATCCTATCTGAGGCTACATGCTTGTTGAGCAAACTGATGAACTAATCATCTCAATCAGCGCAGCTTCACAACCTAAAACTTTACTCAGAAACTTATTATCAATATTATTATTGGAAATATTATACCATTCAACACTAGAGATGGGACGCATACACCTATAACGAAAGACAGCTAGTCTCTTCAAATCATCCTATTTCAACGGCCACGTCACAAACATAAGGAAATTTGAGGGAAACTGTTGCGTAGTGCACACGACCACTGCTCGATTTGGTTTTAGTATACACGGAAGTAAATCGAAATACTAGTGAAGCCATTAAATATCGCCATGATCCAGATATCATGTGATACTGTAACAACAGAACACAAGTGCCAGGCAACTGATCATTTATTAAGGAATTCAACACACATTTCATGTATATTATTATAGATTATTGTTAGCAGAAAAGCACAGGCTTCTGATTGGTTGTTTCTCACAGAAAGTTAATCATTCATCTCTTTAGAGCTGTTTCTTGAATGTCAGATTATCTATATGCTAATTGTATCCGCCTACGCAAAGTCTGCTATGGTTGGTTGTTGAATCAGTCTTTGTTCTTATTTTTCTCACAACCAACATCGGGGACGTAAACACTGACTTAAATTATTGTCTACCAACTTTGTCTAGCAGCCAGCTCTCACCACAATACTTGGTTCAGGAGCTACAAAGACTACTTCAAAGCATATACTGCTGGTCAAAATTATCCTCTTAAAGTGCATCTCCAAACCTGACAGTCCGATCCATTTGAACTTCACCAATAATACATACAGTATGATTCTGACACAAAATCCATGCCATAGCACCTTCCACACCTCAATACAAGCACTGAGATAAGATTTCGGGGATCATCCACACCTCTTCATCTGTCAATATGGTCCTATGTGAACATAATCATGAGGCAGAATGGTGATTATCTCACTCATGTGGGTATCTTTAATCCTGGATGTGGACGACTAAGACTGAAATCCTCGATGGATAATCGATTTAAATCGGTAATGCTCGTCTCCACTCCACAGTCACAGAAGTTCACTGACATCAGAGTGCAGCTGTTGAAACGCTTGGGATAATATTCAATGGTAACACCAAGTATCATATATGCTGAATGTCAACAACTGACAAACCATCAGCAGGATATTAGTCCACCTCACTCTAGATTCCGAAGGGTGGTTCTGAGGTAGACGGAGTTCGTCAGATATATTCTCCATCTTTAGTCCACCTTCTGATTACAGGCCCCTTGGATATAATCTGAACGTGAATCTTCCCATTTCAAAGAAGTCTCCTCCACCATCCTGCTGTCATTATGATGCTTGACATTTCGTCAAATCTCGTTCATGCTAGCAATATTGATTTTCAGATTGTAACAACTTTGGTTATGAATGCAGCTTTTTCCAGCAACACACAATGAAATGCATAGCGGCCATAAACTGAATGTAGGCTTACACGTGAGTCTCATCAGTTTCATAGTTTTCTTTATTTACCTAATGAACATAGGGCTTCAATCGGACATCTCGACTACTTTTTCACTTGTCTCCGCCGCTGCTCACTTGCTTTCGTCTCCTCCTCTCATGAGCGCCTTTATTTCACCATCGTAATAACAACCAACTCATCACTTCCGATTCCGGTTCCACTCGAGCGATGGCCTTAACTTAAAAGGAAGGCAGAAAAGTCATAATTATCCAACTCTACACCCTCTACTAACAGCGCAAACCCAGTGGAACAAAGAGAAGAATCCTGCACACAATTGCTAAGATTATTAGACAAGATTCCAATTGGCGACTTCTTAACCCTAATGGATGATATGAATACTAAACAGACTGGGGGCAAAAACACAGGATCGATACCCACGCAGCAAAATGACTAACCACTGTGCCACCGACGCATTTATGTGGACGGACTAGTTAGTGACCACGGGCTACGCGAGTGTTTCAGGAGTAGCAACAGTCTTCTACTGACTCTCCCCATCGATAGCTTGTAGCTATTGAATATATTTCTATCTATCATTGATTTGATGACGGAGGTCGCCAGGTTAGGCAGTGCCTCTCTTTATCTATGAAATTAATGCCAATGAGGAACAGACAGTTATCTTAACGAAATTGTAAAAGACAATCGCAGTCGGCATGGAACTCTATAGATGTTGCCAATGTACTTTCCTTACTGGCTCAACCTCCCTACGTGAGAACTGAAATCACCTGCTAAAACGACTACATTTGAGCATCTTTCTTTTATCAGCAAACAGGTAACTATTGATAAAAATCATCCGAACTTCAGTAGATTCGGGTAAGCACAGATTATGAAAAGATATCGACAGGGATTATCTTTCCTACCCACATATTCATTCAGCCGGACAGCATACATACGACTGTTCAGTGGTATCCAATCAAGTAGTGTTTTCCTGCCTTATTACTCAATGCTTTTCGTACAACAGAAAGTTCGCATAAACTAGCCGAACAATCTCTTGACATTTAAGAAACGGTCACCTAACAGTTTTGTTCAACTGAATACCTCTGGAATGCAAACGAAATTTAATTGTATACTTTGCCAGTGGCATCCAAGGTATCTCCAACAGTGACGCTCTAAAAATGGATTTCCAGTGAGATTTATTGACAAGAATATAAAAACGAAAATTTAGAGAAATAAGATACTGTTCGTGTCCAAAAAGAAACTGAACATGAGCCTTGACTTTAAAAGCGACACAACCTTTAATGCCCTTAGAAGAATTTTGGCATCTTTAGGAAGAACATTCTCCATAACATCATTAAGAGTAGTTATCACCAGTAGCCTGAAAGGCACCTGCTTCTCTGAAGGGTTCCTGTCTGAAAAGGTTTCAAGAGCGCTACCTCATATGGTTACGGAGACATACTAGCAGCTCTATCCAGAAAACTTCTTCCAAGCGATCTGCAAAGTGAAGAGTAAGCTATCAAAGACAGATGAAGAAACCAGGACCCTGTATGCAAAAGATAACTCTTCAACCACTCCTACTATCAGGGTAATAACTCTATTGTTTTCAACCAATTTTTCATCCGTATTTTAACACTTCTTAGCTACTCTGTACTTTCGAACTTTTATGTAATATCACATTTCACTCGTTTCTATTTGTGTCCTAATTACAACTCATTCGTTAAATTATCTCATCACGTAACTCTACTAGACTTATTCAACTCCTCTTATGTACTCATATTAGCAACTATGATCACAACAACTCACCTCTTTTGTTAAAAAAAATTGTACAAGAATGCAATCAAACAGCTAAAAAAAATAATGAAGTCTTAGAAAAGAGTTTCTTAGCTGAACTATTTGTTTTTTCATTAGTACCAGGATGAGAATTATCTATGAATCTCCTGACATCCTTAGGGTGGAATTCGTCGGCCTTGTACGCGTGTCTCCCAAACACATACATCTATGGCTCGAGATTCCAGAATTCTGGGTAGTGAGAAGTGTTATCCAGTTGGGCAGAAGTTCCTGACGTAAAATGGCCCAATATGAAGTTGGGAGTGTGATTTAATGAGGCTATCGGCTGTGTTTTCACACTCTGCCTCCATTAACGTTTTCAGAGAACCCAGCAGTGAAGTATTATTAATAGTGGCAGGAAAGAAAGAAGACGAAAATGTATCATGATTAGTAGAGCTTTGTGTGTTCATAGAAGTGTATGGGCAATCATTACTTCCCATCTGCCAAACCATGGAAGTTCATTTCTTCTTAAAACAACTACAACAGAAATAATTT